CATCCACCATAACCGAGAACTACAACCACTGAAACCTCAAGATACACCCACTAATAATCCTAAGCCACATCAAGCCACATCTGCTAATAACCCAAAGCCACATCCACCATAACCCCAAACTATAGCCACCATAACCCTAAGATACACCCACCAACAACCCAAAGCCATAACCACCAATAACCCCAAGAAACATCCACCAAAAACCCAAGCTACAACCACCATAACCCCAAGATACACCCACCAATAACTCTAAGCTAAAACCACCAACAACCCCAAGCCACATCCCCACTATTACTCTGAGATACACCCACCAATAATCTCAAGCCACACCCACCAATAAACCCAACCATAACCCCAAGATACACCCACCAATAACCCCAAACCACATCCACCAAAACTCCAACATACACCAACCAATAACCCCAGGCCTCAGCCACCAATAACCCCAAGCCACATTCCCCATAACCCAAAGCTATAGTCACCATAACCCCAAGATACACCCATCAATAACCTTAAGCCACAACCACCAATAACCCCAAGCCACATCCACTATAACCTCAAGCTACAACCACTATAACCCTAAGATATAGCCACCAATAACCCCAAGCTACAACTACCAATAACCCCAAGCCACCCAAGCTACAACCATCATAACCCTAAGATACACCCACCAATAACCCCAAGCCACAACCATCAATAACCCCAAGCCACACCCACCATAAACCCAAAATACAACCACCATAACCCCAAGATACACCCACCAATAATCCCAAGTCACACCCACCAATAAACCCAAAGCCACGACTACCATTAACCCCAAGCCACATCCACCATAACCCCAAGTCCCCGCCACCATAACCCCAAGATACACCCACCAATAACCCCAAGCCACAACCACCAAAAAAGTACTCGATTAATTTACATCCACCATAACCTCAAGCTACAACCACCGTAACCCCAAGATACACCCACAAATAACCTCAAGCCACAACCACTAATAACCCCAAGCTACATCCACCATAACTCCAAGCTATATCCTTCATAACCACAAGATACACTCACCAATATCTCCTAGACACATCCACCAAAAACCCAAGCCACATCCACCATATCCTCAAGCTACAACCACCAATAACCCCATGCCACATGAAGCTGTGGTAACTACAAGAAGCCTTCAACAGAGGAAAAACATATGCACCAACTCACAGTCACCATCTTACCAGTAAGACAGAAATATATGCCCCAACCCACAACTATCATCACATCAACAAAGCACATCCATATGCCTCAAGCCACAAACACCATCTCATAAGCAAAATACAAGCATATGTCCCAACCCACAACCACCATCACATCAACAAATTAAAACAAAAAATGCCCCAACCCACAACGACTATCTCATCACCAACATACAACAAACTCGTGCCCGAATAATGTAAAAAGAAAATTAGCATTCCCATACATACCATCAAATTCATATGTATTTACATATCCAACATCTAAACATTACTTATAAAATGTATACCAAAACCTTTCATCTCATAAAAAAAAAACACCATAAAATTAACTCAAAAGAGGAAGATATGGAGTTGTATGTAGCTTGCGGTTATTAGTGGATGTGGCTTGCGGTTAATGGTATACCAACAAAAACCTTCCACCAAAATCCTAGTTTAAACCCTAGAGAGTGCATAAAAAACTACTCAATAATGGAGTCCTATGTATGTAGGCTTCCATAAAAATGACAACAAGCTATCTATCAACTACTCAAGCACCATTCCAACATACAAAAACAACAACAAACTACACAAGAATCGAGTGGTATGCATGTAAACTTCCATAAAAAGGCATAATTTAGGTGGAAGATATGTAACTCCACCAGAATAGAGTGGTACGTATTGATGTTTACCAGAAGGGAATAAAGATTGGAGGAACCGGGAGATAGATTGCATATGCCAAGAAGGAGATGAGAAAGCAGGAAATGAAGAGGAAGTGAGAGATCACAGTCGAATAGACCCAAACACGAGCTAGGGCACAGGGGAGTTCATGAAAGTGGAGGAGAATGCTGTATTTTGGTAAGTAGGAATCGCAGGCCGCAGGGTCAAACCCGCGACACACATTTTACGAAAAATGCGGTTCGCCGTGGCAAAAACATCACTCCAAACACCTCAAAATCGTGGCAAGAGGCCGCGTCGCGGCAAAAGCGTCACCCAAATGGGCCCTTAGTCATGATTTGAGTTACACATCAAATAAATTTTGTCGGATGCTTAAATCTTCATGTTAAAAAAAACTCCATTTTGCCACCCAGTTTGAGATTTAATATAATTTATTAATTTTTCCATAGAAATAAAATTAAGGAGATTTAATTCATTGAAGGGTTGCTTCTGATGAAAGATGCAGAGTATAGTACACCAACGTATAATGGACTTAAATTTAATAGAATTATGCTATGGTAATGACTTTAAATATTCACATATATATGTAACATTATATATATATATATATATATATATAAAATCACAAAAATTTGAGCTCCGGGATTTTGGTATTTTCGAGTGACAAAAATGGTCTCGATCGAAAATATGGAGAGTACTAATCTGTCATCAATAAATTTTCAACATTCGACACGAATCTCAAAGCATGACACGAATCTTGAGATAATTTTTTAATAACAAAACATTCAAGCTTCAATTAAGAGTCGTCCAGAGCTTCGATTTTAGTAAAATTACAGTCAAACTGACCAACTTGACGAGACAAATACAATGATATCCAAATTAGTCCAATCCGAGTTAAACCAAACTCAGATCAAGTCATTAAACCACTCTTAAAATATTTTCAAATATATTTAGAATGTCAAATGAATGTTGAATCTAGTAATCTCATAGTCGAATCGAGCTTCTCGGCAAGTCGAATCCAGCAAGCCCAAGATTGCTTAATTTCGACAATGTTAAGACACTCAAATGTCTATCAAATATCGCCTAATCGAAATAAGCTCTATGGACTGTCTGATCAAAGTGGTTCATATTCATGCATTAATTGCACCCTGAACACTATAAATAGAGCTCCACCCCTCTCATGGTAGAGAAGAGAGTTTGAGATTTGAGGAAAAAACATGAAGCTTTGAGAAAGAATTGAAGTTTAACACCACTTCTACCACTGTCGATCGCCGCCGACCTCCATTAACCTCCGTTGACCTTCATCGAACATTGTTGACCAACCACCATCGACTACTGCTGACCATCGTCAACCACCACTTGCAAGTCTCAATCTATCATCATCAACAACCACCCACTTCTTACAACAAGTTCATTCACACTTCGACATTATAATTCATAAGACTTTGTAACCATTTTTCGCCTGTGGGATAATGACTCTCTGTATGTTATATTTTTATTTATGACTCACATTTATTTTAATAACTTATGAGATTTATTTTTGATGACTTAAGTTATTAATTTTCATAACTCATAACTTATGTCATAAATTATGACAACTTATGATATTTATTTTGATAACTTAAGTTATTTATTTTCTTAACTCATAACTTATGTCATAATTTATGATAACTTATGATATTTATTTTTGTAACTCTATAATCCCTAAAATAAATAAATGTTACTAACTTATGTCATTGATTTTATTAATAAAAATCAATTAATTTATTAAATTATCATAAATCCTATTGGTTAGTAACCCCCTTGATGGATGGTGGATAAATAGAGCATGAATTTGAGAATGGGTCCTCTCTCTACCCAACACACCTCGTACATTTCTCTCCATCAGAAAGTACAGAAAGTTTTAAGGAATTAGAGAGAGAAACTCCATCTCTTCAAGATCAAATTTGTTCATCATGAATACAGGTATGCGTCACTTTATTTTACATATGTAAAAATCATGAATTTAAAAGATCTTGGCTATTATGTAATTTTCTTTTGAAATTTGTGTATAAAGTTGAAACATGAATTTTCTAACAAAGGCATGCATTTATGGTCATCTTCACCTGTTTGTTTATGCCAACATATAGCTCACACCATCACTTCAACGATGGTATTATTTGGATACCTTTAAAAAGGCAACATCTTTGTGCCATATTACAAGCTTTCAAATATAATTTGGAAGATATCATGAAGCACCACTTCATATAAAATACCTCCCTAATGGCCTGATGCACGTTTGGGATATGGCGAAGCATACATGACATTGCAAACTTACCCACACACTGAGTCTTTTTGAAATCAATTTAGCGGGTAAGGATGAGGATGACAAGTACTCTTGAGACCTAATCATCTCACCATTCTTGATGAGATTAGGTTTCTCTAAATCTCCAAGTTAAAGATATTGTTGGCAACCTCCTACTTCACATGCATCCATATGGTAAATAGCCCTTCACATTCAATCAATGCTTTCTTCTCTTCGAAGCATCTAGAGGTTGTCTGGCATGGTGGGATTTAGGCAAGATTTAAGGGAAATCTTTCCGGACAGTCAATTTGGACAAAATAAATTATGAGATGCAGTAAATCTTGATTTCACAGATTTCAGCCGTAAATCTCAAATTTAATAAATCCTATGAATCAGGAGATTTAACTTCGCACAATTCGGATTTAAGGCGCAACTCGGTAAGAACTGTGGTGCAGCTCAGTAACCGCCAAATAGTTTCATTATGTTTACAGGATTTACTAAATCTATTGCCAGATAATTTTCTGGATTTCAAGCAGGAATTAATAAGTCTAGATGTGCAGGGTTTACTAAATACTAATAATTTAAGTCTCAACTATTGTTGAGCGAGACAGCAACGAAAAATCTCCTCATTTGAAAAGCTATATTTATTAATGATTTCTTGAAAAGAAACTGCTACTTGAAGAAATGAAAAAACAAACATAAAGCAAAATAATATATGTATAAAAACATAGAGCATTGTTGATTTCTGACAGACAATTTGACTCTTGATTGCTTGATCAGAGCAGATTTAAACTAGAGAAAACAGAATTTGGAAGATTCAAAGTTCATAACATCCACATCTCATAACAATCATCAAAATACATGAACATCTGTTCCAATGCATCACTCTGATCCACAGAAGCCCTCAATTCATCTTCAACCCTGCATCCCTCAAATTCAAAAATTTTTATGCCTCTAGCCCTACATCTTACCTCTTCATCAGCTTCAAAACCAACACAATCCTTCAAGCTCAATCTCTTCAGCTCCCTGCACCCATCTAAGATAGCCAACACTTCCTCCTTCCCTATTCGAGACCCACTCAAATCCAAAACTTCAATCTTTGGAATAAAATCAACAATACCTGACACATCTTCTTTTCCAATCAAGCCGCAAATTTTAATCCCGTAAAACCTGCTGCAATGAATTCCAATCTGCTCTGCAATTTCTCTCAAATTTCTTGGCTTTGAATCCATTTCAAGCCATTCGAGATCCCTCCATTTGCTTATCAGATTCAAAAAACGAACTTCATCGTCAAAATTGACTCTTGGCAACCCCAAGACTTTCAACTTAGGGCAAGCGAGGGATGCGAGGGAGAGAACCTCCATTGAAGGAGGGAAGAGAGGGGAGAAGCGGATCTCATTGGCGGCGCCATGGCTTCGCGCGATGGCGAGTTTGAGGAAGCTGGAGAAGGTGAAGCGAGGAAGAGAGTATTGGGAAGAGAAGATTTTGGAGAATGAAGAAGATGGGCTAAGTTCCAGAAGGCGAAAGTCGACGATTTGAT